AATAGCTTTCTGCATATCCAAAAGGATAATTATTTTTAAATCTTTTGATAACTTTCTTGCCATTCCAAAAAGGTGTTACATAGACGAAATTTAATTTTAAAAATTTGATTTTTCAGCTATCTTTAAAATGTAAGATATTCCATTACTCTTAAAACTTGCCCAACATATATTTTTTGAACATTTATGCTTCTCAGATAGTAGAGTATGTTATACAGAATTTACATAACTGACCCAGCAAATCTTGTAGTACTTTCAAACATCCATAAATGCTGTCGATCTTTACAGCTATAGTGTTTAACGATTTTTTTTGCAACTCAAAGTTTCTTCCAAACCATCGCGATATTTTAATACAAATCTTATTGTTGGATGAAATATGATAATATAAAAAACATGTCATACTCCGAGTCCATATAGAAATTAAACAAATTATATTTACATAAGCCTTGAATAGTCACATAACAACTGTGGGATAGTGTATTTACTAGTACTTGTTTGTTGTTGACCTTGTTTATATAGATAATGATATGGACATACAGGGTTTTTTTAGTAGAAACGCACCACCTGAAGTTAGCCCGTCCATTTGACTTCTATGGTAGAACTATGTTCAGATGGTCCGCTTCTACTGAAAAACTATATATATGCTACATATTGTAAGCATATACACATGAAATAATTCATAAATAAATGTTTAAAATATAATTAAAACTAAGTCGTTATAAATACGTTTAAATAAATCCTGAATATATAATACTTCATAATTATAATCAAAAGTAATTTTCCACAATTTTCTAGTCGATATGATTACTTTAACCTTTTTGCCATTATAAAAAAAAGGAGGTATTGTGAAAATATACATAATATATAACTACGTGCTGCATAAGATTTGATGTGGCACTAGAAAATACTTTTTTTTTCGGGGCGAAATATATCAGAAGAAATAGTACTTATGTACATACATGTGGAAAGCGACAGCTCCACTAGTCAAAAGTGACTTTCCATTGGTTCACGCGGTCATTCGCGTTCCGGCACGCGACCGGTGAACATACATTTATAACGTATATAACTCAAAGGGTCTTTCAGTGTAAAGAAAGAGGAAGTGACATTAACTGACCGAGAACTTCGAAGCACGTGGTAAGCATGAATTATAGTTTGAGAATACGAGGAATATTTTTGATTCCATTTCACGGAAATGAAGAGTCTTTCGAAGTTATAAAAGTATTAGACAGGCGACTTTTGCACAAGAATCAGTCAAAACTTCCATACAATATGTACTTATATGATCACAGTGAAGATTCATGAAAGTAGTATAGTAAGTACAGTCCTGTCAAGAAATATTGACGATTGACGACGGATTTTTCCTATCGAACACACGCTGGCCTAATTGTCAAAGGTATTTCTAATGACGTGATGTGATTTGTCTGTGTCTGCACGCAATATTTTTAATACATTATCCAACTTCTCATTCTGTTTTTTTTTAAATTATTATGCTGTTATTAGCAACGTTTCTTTGAGAGTGAAGAACGTAGGTAGAACTTCGCTGATGTTGCAAAAGAGGAATGAAATTCTAACGTATTATGTGCTGATGTGTATTTTGTGCTTGGCTGTTGTTTCTTTATTTTTATATTAAATTAAGATCTATTATCAAATAATGAGTAGAAAACTTTAATGTACGTTTGTAATTCATGTCAAATTTTAGCAAGTTATCTTTTATTAAAGTTAGCCTTGGGTTATTTATTTAAAATATGAATCAACATTTAATTAACACCAACATCAAATTCAATATAATCCCTTTTCTAACAATTTGTGTCCATAACTTTCTGTATGTCATTTGAGTTTAATAATATATTTGTTTTATAAGTATTTTTAATTTCAGTAAATGATTTTCATATTTATGCATCATATTTATATTCATATAACTTTTACAATCATAAACAGCTTACGAAGGAAATTATAATACACTTTTATTTTCATACAAATTTATTATGGACATAGAATGTAAAGAGGAAAGCAACTTAAATATTTCCATATTTTATTCATGCATAATATGTTATTATGTTAAGTAATAATTTAATTTAAAAATAATATCTTATGCTATAATGAATAAGATTAATAGAAAATGATTGTGATATATGATACAAATATTTGTGGATTTTGTCTACTGGGTCTGCGTAAGCTATAAGATTGGTATAATAATTTTGATGTCAACATCTTTTGATGATGAAACTAATTGTGAAATTATAGCAATGAAGCAATGGATGTGGAATTTTATAAAATGCATATAATGAGTAAAAAACGTCTAATATCGTGCTAGGGGGGGTCAAAAGTTTATAGCAGTATTGCGATAATGTGTCTGATAATGAATCGGATTGGCAAATAATATAAAAGTAGGGTCCTCTTTACTTGTCAATACTCTTTAGCAATATGAATACTTTTTAATTGATGTTACAAAGATCAAGTTATTTTTCTATTTACTGGTATGTTTGCCAAAATGTTGCTTATAATCTTTAAATTCAAAATAGTTTTCATCAACAATGCATAGAATATATATATATTTTTCTAGATTATGTTATAATTACAAGTTTTAATTCTTTTACAAATTTGTTATAATATTTTTATTGTTAGAGCATGCACTACATATCTAAAAGTTGATCACACATTTTATATTGTCTTCAACATTTTATGTTTTTAAAATGGATCTTTCCATCAGGCCGAGCCAATTCTCTTAAATTTTATAATTTATTTTTCCTATGCGTAGTTCATTTGTAAAAATATTACAGTTATTCTTCCACATAGTAGTATTTTATTTCATACTCTTATCTTATTGTGAATGGTATTATCGTAGATTGCATGTTTATTAAAACATAACTGTTGTTCTTTGACCTTCTAAGTTTCTTCATAGTTTGATTGGTTTGTCTATTTTATAGTATTCAGTGTATGCTATTTTCTAGGAAAACAATGTGTATTATGTGAAGCATCAATTGACTAATTTAAATTTCTTTACTGTAGTAGAGTAGAACAATTTATTAATATATTGGTAATGCATTAGCCCTTTGAAGCATAGTGGGTCGATTTTCGACGCACTTTTTTGCCCATCGTTTTTATCTTTTGAATTTTATTCCTAGACCATAGAGAATCCGAGTTTTGGCCTCACAAGGTCCTTAACACATCAAAGAGTCCAGAAAAAATTGCAACCAGTTTTATTGTTGATTAACATAAAGTTTTGAATAAACACATCGTGGAAATCAGTTGTTTTTTTCCACCAAAATTTGTTTCCTACGATGCGATTATGAATATTTGCTCGAGACTTGGTTCTTAGAGGTTTTTAGGGTCGCTGATTACGATCTGAATTAAAAATTCAGGAATTCAAAATGGCGGACTCAAAATCGAAAAATGATGAAAATCTCATGAAAATGTATATCTGAGGCTTCTTGGGGTCGCTGATTACGAATGCGTGGTATGTATTCCATACCTTTCAAATTTCGGAGGCCGCCATCTTGAATCCGCCATTAGGAATTTTGAAAATCTGTTAATGGACTCCAAAACCCCGTTTTATACCAAATTTCTTAAAAATCCGATCATTTGAAAAATATATGCTTCAAAGGGTCAATTAGACTTATAGTGCTTTTTAAAAGTTCTTGAAAGGACTTTTATTGTAAAATTATCCGCAAAATGTTGAATTTTTACAATCAGGATCCACACTGCCAATCTCAGCCATTAGGTACTAGCAACGTTTCTTGATTATTTAAACACAAATTTTCATATTTATTTTTTGTGAATTATGAAAATTAAATGTTGTCTCACACAAATTAGTTGTTCTGATTAAAATAGCGATAATTAATCTTTTAATCGCGGGCAATTTTTTATTTCTCTGTTAAAAAAGTCGGGTAAATTTTATATTTGTTATTTAGAATTGTAATAAGATATAAGGTAGTAGGTGAACACAAAAGAAACGGGATTTCGATGTTGCCTGCCGCTAGAGGGTTAAAACTGCGTTTTATTTTACAATGCCATTCTTTAGAATATTCTTTACTTAATTTAATTTGCACAATAATTTTTATTTTTCTTATCTATCTTGGAGATTTTTGTTTTTCCCATTCAAAGAAGCTCTATGTCTCACTAGTTCCGTTTTCTATTGCTGAACTGTCCACCAAAAATATTTGTGCTTATGATTATTTGTTTAATATTAAATAATATTGCACGGTAAGGCGCAAACTATTGTGCTGTCCTATGGGCTGAGTTTTCACAAAAATAGATCACCATTACTTTCCAAATTTTAATAGACCCCAGAATTATATTTTCTTCATGCACTGAGAGAAGAAAGTTGTTGGTATTGGTTGGAATGGTATTGAACATTTTGTTGATCGAACTAAACCGACACGGGCTGTCCAGAGAATGTAATGTTAGTCGAAAAATATATCTTTGTTGCTAGTTAAAAAAAAATAGGTCTAAAGAATTATTATGTTATCAAACCAAAATACAAATATTGTTGCATTGGTTAAATGTTGTAGTGAACAGAATGATTATTCATTTCATATGAGTACATTGATTTTCAAAACAATAAAATGAGCAGTCCAACTTATTAGATGTTCAGGTGCTTTAATAGATTTTACGTTTAAAGAATTTTATTATATACTTTATTAGGTCCAATGTTGCGTTGTGAGGGCTAACGCTTTAGTCTATTCAATTCAGTTAATTAAACAGTTTTAAACATCACGCCAACTGAATCACTTCAATGTAATCGATGATTGGGCGAAATGAATGAGACTACTACACTTCGGCATGTTTGTAGTTCTTGCCAAAATAGTTCAGTTAAACCATTCGTGGGCAAATGGATACAGTTTATTGATTATCCATTTATTTTATCCAAATGGATAATCAATATCAATATGTCATATACAAGGCCATTTGTAGATTATTTATATAATTTCCAGGTATTTAAGAATATAATATGTCTTCTAAAGCAGAAGATAATTTTTGCTCTGAGGCAATGTCACGACTTTCTCTAAGCAAATCCCAGTGTGAACGACCTCGTAGTAAGGGTGAAACACGTGGTCAAAAATCGTCAGGCCTTACACATGAATGTGGTGTCTTTGGATGCATTGCAGCGGGAGATTGGCCCTCCCCGATAGATGTTGGTCAAGTAATTTGTTTGGGTAAGTTCTATCTCTGTTAATGAAGAAGTGACGGACTAAACTTACTGTTTGCATAATAAATAAAATTGCAGGTTTGGTAGCGCTGCAGCACAGAGGCCAAGAAAGCGCAGGAATCGTAACAAGCGAAGGTGTATGTGCAAAGTCATTTCATGTTCTCAAAGGAATGGGAATGATCAACAATATATTTAACGACGAAAATATGAAGAAGCTTAGAGGGAATCTCGGAATTGGCCATACGCGATATAGTACCAGTGCTGCAAGTGAGGAAGTGAATTGTCAACCTTTTGTTGTTCACACGGCTCATGGAGCTTTGGCAGTCGCGCATAACGGTGAACTTGTCAACACAGAATCTTTAAGAAAAATGGTAAATCAGGATATTTAAATGTGCTGATTCTGAAATTTGTCTTAATATTACTTTATATTGTGATGACCGATTTTATTCTCTAGGTTTTAGGACGCGGTGTTGGACTCTCCACGCATTCTGATTCTGAGCTGATTACACAGGCACTATGTTTAAATCCACCGGAGGGTGAGGTCAATGGACCCGATTGGCCGGCTCGTATTAAACACCTTATGCAATTGGCACCATTGTCATATTCATTAGTTATCATGCAAAGAGATAAAATCTATGGAGTTCGAGACCCTTATGGAAACAGACCGCTTTGTCTCGGCAAAATTGTTCCTATAGTTAATTTAGGTGAGTTTTCAATTATATACCCAGACAGTGCATACCGTCCAAAAGTCGTCTTTAACCCTTTGAACTCGAAATTGATCTGAACGGAACGGAATTACAATGGAACGGGATACATTCGTCTCAAAGCAGTACTTTTTTAAGAAAGCTATTTATTACTTCAATGTGGGATTTAGTGGGTATATTCATTAGCTATGGCAATGCTATCCACTACCAATTGCTTTGGTAGTGCAAAAACATTGAAATGAAATCCCTGGTTCACAGCTTCACAGACTTAATGATAAAAAGCGAAGAGATTTCTAATGTATGGTAATAAAATTGTCCGGTGAATTAGAACAAATCGGATATCACAACAATTTTCAAAATGGTGATCTCTAGAAAAAAGTTACACCTTTTATATTAAAATTCTATCATTTTTTGTTTATAAAAGCAAAGTTATGAATTAGAAAATTGTTACTTTAGATTACAGGATAACAGGGTAAGGTGTTCACTTTTATAAATGCAAGCCAAACTTGAAATCGATATCTAACCCGGCGCCGTCTACGTTGGATTACAGATGCCCGGAGCATTTTCAAATGTGGGTATTTTACTCCCATGGACCACTTTTAAAATGGTCTCTAAATACGATAATTCCCAGATAATTCCTTAAACTTTTCGTGACATTGAATGAACCCATAGATCTCTTGTCGGGCCTCACAGACTTCTGAAGACGACGGTGTTTCTCTTTGTGACGTGGACGGTGCCGAGTTAATAGTTTTCGAGAAAAAGAGACGTTAGATCGAATAATGGTACTTCGAGAAAAACTCTATCAAAGTTCAAACATTGTTTTCGCATGCACAAAGGTTATTTTTAATGATGTCAGTTTTCTAACTTTTCAAATTTTGATTACAAATTTAAATGACAGACTTTTGAGATGTACTTTCAACCTATGTAATAAACAAAATTCAACCTTTTAAAATAACATTTTCTTAATTATTTGTAAAGGTTTACTAAAAGGATGTATTTTAATCACATTCTAGAAGATCACTTCAACTAAATTTGTTTGTAGTGCGAATGTGATATTTTTATCTTTGCTTTTAGGATGTGATGAATCTGACGAAGATGACGAAGCTGATGGCTGGGTTATTTCTTCGGAATCCTGTGGTTTCCTTAGCATCGGTGCCAGATATGTCCGTGAAGTGTTTCCTGGTGAAATTGTGGAAATGACACGGGAAGGATTCAAAACGATTGACATTGTTGAAAGGCCTGATAAAAAGCCACAAGCTTTTTGTATATTTGAATACGTCTACTTTGCGCGTAGCGACAGTATTTTTGAAGGTAAATATAATATTCCATGTTAAATATATAAAGTCGTATGGTTATATTTGGATCTCTAACGTCAAACTTTCCAAATAGTTAGAAACTGTATAACTAAGTGTTAAAAAAATGTCTGTTAAAGTGTTTGGTAAAAATCCTACCAAATAAATTTTTAGTAAAACCAGTAATTTGGCTTCTAAAAGAGAGAATGTGAAAAACTGTCATCATTTTTGCAATGTAAGTTTATCTTGTCAGTATTAAATCTTTACTTTTAGGACAAATGGTATATTCTGTTCGCATGCAATGCGGTCGAGTATTAGCTTTGGAATCTCCTGTTGAAGCCGACATTGTTAGTTCTGTTCCCGAATCGGGTACAGCCGCAGCACACGGTTATGCAAGAGAGGTAAATTTCGATGACAGACATCTTTTGTGAGAGCTTATGCAATTAAAAAAGTTGAAATACAATCTTGTCAAACACTGATTTCAATATTACAGTCGCAAATACCATTTGCCGAAGTTCTCTGCAAAAATAGATACGTCGGTAGAACATTCATTCAACCGAGCACGCGATTGAGGCAGCTGGGCGTCGCAAAAAAGTTTGGCGCGTTATCTGAAAATGTGAAGGGTAAAAAATTAATCTTGATTGATGACTCGATTGTTCGAGGAAATACAATTGGACCAATTATAAAATTACTGCGTGATGCTGGTGCTAAAGAGGTATAAATAAATATCGATGCCAGTAACATCATACTTTGCATTTCTCCGAGAAGCTTATCCATTCATAGTACTCTTTAATATTTTCAGGTTCACATCAAAATAGCATCACCCCCTCTTAAATATCCGTGTTACATGGGTATTAATATTCCTACACGAGAGGAGCTCATTGCTAACAGGCTGGACAGCATTAAATTAGCCAAACACGTTGGAGCCGATAGTTTAACCTACCTTTCAGTGGAAGGACTCGTACAAGCTGTTAGAAATGGAATGGATAATAGAGAAAGCAGTTATATTGGACACTGTACTGCTTGCTTGACTGGCGAATATCCTGACGAATTACCAGGCGATTTGGATTGGTGAATTAAAAAAAGTTTTCAAGATGAAAAAATTATGAGATAATATGTATAAGTACCTACAATGCAGTGCGTTATATTTGTTTCATGATGCGTTCAAATAGTGTAACGCGTGAGAGTTATTATATGAATACTCAGATACGAAAAATCTGATCACTGTAATCTCAGGCTACGGCGATAATCGCCACATGCCATTTATCCTTACGAATTTCGTAAATTTTTTTGGGTTGAAATGCATTCGACTCAGTATTTAAACTAGATCTTATTGCTCAATGAAATATACAGGTTGAGCGCATAATGTGTCAGGATTTTGTAGTTCCACATGTTATTTACGTATTTTATATCAATGTACAGAAGCACATTACGTAAGAGCAACCACAGTAGGACCGTGACATTAGTGAAATATTTAAAGGACTCTTTTGTGTTGTAGTCTGTAAGAAAGTGGATCCTCAGGAAGGAGGGCTCTCGCAGGCCTCATATATTCATTCGCGTGTCTTATTACGATGAATAATAATGAAATATTTTCTGTATAAGTATACAAGTTTTTTTATAGTCTATATTTGGATAATTGAAAAGTGTATAACACATTATGTCGTTATTAAATAATATTAAATTTATAGATATTTTTACAAAATAAAAAACCTTCACATCTGGATTAATCGTTATAGCTAAGGCTATTCGTTCAACACATATCAAAAGGTTCATTCCTGTCGCCTAAACTGGTTGTACGAGTGTAAAATGTGTACATTTTCATTTGTTAGTGACAATCAAGATCCAATAAGAATTAAAGCAATCTTCTACTTTGTCAGATAAAAAAGTCGTTCTTTTTTTATTGCATTTTGTCAGAGTTAGGTTCTAGAATACGTGCTTCAAAGAATTTTTGGGAATTCGTTAAATTGTAGAAGTTATAGATGTATGAGTGACGCAGTGCGCGGAAGAACAATAAGTAAAAGCGGGTATGTTTTAACTAAGGTTGGGATAGTCTCATCATGCCTGGAAATTAGTGTGAATTATTTATTCAACGACATAGGGTCTTTCAGAGAGAATAAGGACCTCCTTATAGCTTTTGACTAACTGACTTACGGTGAGTGATGTAAATATATTAACCCCATAAAAATGGTACGAAATATCTTAAACAAGTTTTTCTCGAAACTACGTTTTCCAAGTTGACGAAAGCACTTCACCACACCCTAGTTGAGTAATCGCCATGATATTTGATGGAAACGAGGATAAGTTAATTTAGAAGTAATAAGAAAAATATTAAACAAATATTTTTATTAACAAAATACCACAAATTATTGGCCAAAAACTAAACTTTGACATTGCTATCTCATTATTTTTAACAAAATTGGACTTTCTTGGTTTTAATTCATTTTATACGCAATTTATTATAAATTAAGATTATTTCCATAAAGCACAAAATATTCAGATACGTTTTAGAAACATTGCTGAAACATATCAATTTGCTTGTTATTTTTCAGTAATGTTTTTCAAATGTATTTGAATGTTTTGTGCTATATGAGTCATTCATTCTTTCATTTCAGATCAATTGCCAGGGCCTGGTACTTACGCGAGCAAGTGATAACATCGCCGGCGCATCGACTTTTGTCGCTCCCCCTACTCCTCCTTACACTTCATTTTTGTTTAAATACAAATTTTTATGTCGTATAGAATAAAGACCATTTAATAAGCATATGTAACTTTAACATCGTACCTTTAAAATAGTTTTCTTATAATTTCGAAAAATATATAGTTTATTATAGTCTAATTATAAATTATCTGTATTGAATGGATGCATTTTCATACATTACAATATACATATTTGTACTACTATTTTTGGTGTGACTTTCTCAATTGTTCTGAAATTTCTTTCATTTTAGCTTCGCGCTTGACTTTCTTTTTGAGTCGTTTATTCATACAAGTTGTATTTGTTGTCAATTTGCATGCTTCTGGTAGGGAATCTTGATTATTATCTTCTATATTTGTAATATCAACGTTATCCTTTGTTTCTACAGTCTGTATTTCACCTGTCAAAGGTGTTTCTTCAACTTTACTCTTGTCACTTAATTCTAGATTGTTAACCCCAGTATTGATACATTCTGCTGTCACTACCTTAGTTTCAGAAAATTGTTTCTTTCTTGAAGACTTTACTGCCTTTTCTACATTTGTAGAACCAATTCTTCCTCTTGCTCTTTTGATTACCTTAATACTTCCTTTGTGTTTACCTATTACGTCATATGTGCTCAAGTCCAGTTTTTTATGCGAACTTTGTCTAGAATGTATTGCTCCTGATAATCCAAAACATTCTTCTTTCTGACTCAACTCTATTTTCTGGTTTACATCTACATTAGTGTTTTTATTGTTCTCCAATGGAAACTGTTTTCTATCTTTTTGTAAACTATGTAAAAGTGGAAGTGCAACTGATTGGCAACTTTCATGGTCAAGCTTATTCTCAATGTCTTTTGAATTTGCATCTTCTTTCAGCATAGTCATATTCGTTGTAGGTATAGTGGTTTTATTAGATTTGTATATAGCAAATGGATTATCTTCATCTGATTCTGAATCCAGTTGAATTCCTTGTAACTTTTTTTCTTCACGAATTCTATGTTTTTCCAAGTATGCATTTAAGGCTTGTAACCTGTCATCACGCATCTCAGTCCAAAAAGAAAGGGCTGTAGAATAAAATAATTTAAGTGAAAAGGCAAGAATTATAGATTAGAAATTTTTTACTAGTATATCATAAATTCATACCATTATCATGGTATTTTGAAGGTACTCCAGCTTCTTTTATAGTATTTATATTAGGAATGCATTGAGCATGAGTAGAATCTCCTAGAACATCTGTTCGAGCTGCAGTGAAAACTCTTTGCATTCGTAACAATTTTCTTGTTTTTGCAAAATATTTTAAAGTAGGAACTGTGTCAAATATCAGGTCATTGACAATGGGATTCTCATCATTCTTGAAAAATAAGTACGTTCCGACAGCATCTTCATAGGTTCCTTCATAGAACTAGATTGATTAAAATCGTATTTAAATATACAAGAATAAATAAACAAGAGATGGGAAAAATGTATCAAAGATTTATAATTTACGTACTTTACCGTTAACTTCTATAATAGGATAATCAGAATCTATACCAATTATATCTAACTTCAGATTCTCATCACTAAACGTGTTTCGTTCTACAAAACCTTCAAATTCGACATAGACAAGAAATTCTTCTTCGTCATCTGACTGTTCACAATCTGAGTCCATAATTCTTTAACTTGTTCTTCTCTGTCCTATACCTTTTCTTCTCTTCTCGTCATAGGCACGTTCTTGTATACAGGTTTGGGCACTTCTCTATCCTCACTGATCCACACCACCAGGGGGGGTGACCGTGGGGATGACACACCAAAATGGGGTAAACTGCAGTATACGACTCCGGACTGAAGTTGGCTGCTAGTGACTTAGGTTTTTTGAGGTAACGCCATCTGCCGGATATAATGTGAATCGCATGGACTAGTCACGCCGCCTATAAGAAAAAAAATTAACCATAACCGACAGAAATAGTACCAGTCGACCGTCG